CAGGACAATAGGCGTCGGTCAACAGGGGAGGATTCAAAGACAGGTAACGACTCTCACCGATACTGGGCTATAACGACTCAGTTGTTAAGAGACATTGTTGGCCTTCTAAGGACTGAAACCACACCGAGGGGGATAAATATCTCCGGATCAACACCAGTCAGTCAGAACTGATGAAGCCTCTTGGATGAGAGGTGAAACGTCTTCGACCTAGAAATCTAGTCCAGTTGATTTTTTTCAGCCTCTTTTGTTTCTGTGTAGAAAAGCCTGTAAAATAGCAGTTAGACCATTTTATTATTACTACTATTATTAGTAGTAGTAGTAGCAGTATTGCGAAAATCCAACAAATCCCCCTTGAGCGAGCATTTAGCAACAGTGGAGAGCAAAAACTCTCTTTAACAGAACAAACAACTGGATAAGGGAGAGAGAAATGAAAAGAAAAACAAACACAACAAACAATCAAACACTGATCAGGTTGATGTGGCCGGTGACTGCTCATCAGAAACATAGAGCTCCAGAGCCAGGGCAACCTGCAGAAAGGTACAGGGAGAGAGAGAGGACACAAAGTTAGTGACGTGTAATGGTGGGATATAGATGCATGGAGAGAGAGGAGAGGAGAGGGACTCAGAGCATCATGAGAGGACCCCTTGCTCTACATCTGTTTGCATTGGAAAGCTGTTTGACACACAAATTTCTCCATTTGAGTGGTATCAGGCTGCTGCCTTATGGCCAGGATTTTTTGGACCTGCTGTCCCTCATTGGCTCCGGCACACTATCACTCTCCTAACTATTTTTATCTATCCAGGAGAACATGCTGGCATCCTTTACCCAGCCCACTCCCATAATTACTCACAGTGTCCAAACACACGCTGACAAAAAAATAGATCTGCAGTGGCCTGGTGCTTTACAACAGACTGCTGTTTCACATGAACAACTCCACTCACACTCTCATCTTACATTTATGTGCCTCACACATGCTCTCACTGCTCAGTCTTTCTCTCGCACTCTCTCTGTGTAAATGATGAAAGTAAAAGTAATACAAGAAACAGGCAGGGGCATCTGGCCTAATTCCAATAGAAAATGGAATTAGATTAGTGCCTCTTTCCTCACAGCTGTGTTATGGTGTGTGTGTGTGTGTGTGTGTGTGTCTGTCTGTGTGTTTGTGTGGGGAGAATCGAGGCAACAATGGAGCTTGGCAGCAGCCAGCTAGCCGGCAATGGAGCGCTAGTGAACAGTGAAGAAACAAGAGTCACCGCTGCTGCTGTTGCTGCTGCTACTCCTCATCAACTTCCTGTTTACTGTCTGTGTGAGTGGCTGTGTGTGACAGATCAGTCATCCACATGACACTGATCGCACTCATCATTTCTCCTGGATTACAGATGCAGTCTTGTTATACCCTGTAGCCATGTTGCTGAATCTTGTAATAGTATAAAAAGTAGCTTTGTGTGGTTGATTTAACAGCCAATAATGACGTACTTTGTTTATTCACTCCCTTGCCGCTGCACAGAGAATTGAGTTACACGATTACTACGATTACATCTTTTCATCTTTAAACGCCTTCTGGTTGATTGAATTTCTTTCTTGTTCCTCCTTCTGTACTTTATTTTCATAACTGCAGCGCTGGTCCTAAAGGAGACAACATCTACGAGTGGAGGTCGACCATCCTTGGCCCTCCGGGCTCTGTGTACGAGGGAGGAGTGTTTTTCCTGGACATCGCCTTCACACCAGACTACCCCTTCAAACCACCCAAGGTGAGTGTTGTCCTGCAGCTATGCAGCGCAGCCCCCTGCTCCTTCACCCAGAGCTTTGTACCATGTTGCCATTGTCCCAGCTGCCTGTCAGATTTTCACTCTGTTGTCCAGCAACAATGACTTGTTTAAGCCTTGTTCACCTCCAGCATGTTTACAAAATAAGGGGTGACAGTAGCACAAAGGTACAGAATTAGGCTAAGAACAAGTTATCGTCCTGTTATTTTTAACTTAAGGTTACTCTTACAGTATATAAAGTAAGGATAAGAGTATTTTATATTTTCCTACTGTCCGTAAATCTCAGGAAAAGACCAAAACCAATCATTTAGTTTGTCTTTGAATACTTTATGACTTCCCTGTTCTGTCTTTGGCACTCAGACCAAAGTCCATTGGTTCCTACAGAAACTGTTAATTTCATTCACGAAAACGAGGGTGAAAAGTCTTAGTCTACAACCATTTTTAAGTTACAAAACCTAAATTTAAACATTAAATGCTCAAAACTAAGTTGAAAAAAGCTTTGAAAAATAAAACTAAAACAAAAGCATTGCAGTTTTGTCAACAAAATAAACCTTAAGAATAATGTGAAACTAATCCAGCTCCTGAAAGATCAGTTCCTCTACTGTTGGGAGCACAGACAGCTCCAATACCAAATAAAAACATTGCTCAAACAGGAGGAAATAGTGTATTTGGTACTATCTTCATACACAGTACTTGTTAGTAGCATACAGTCATTGTTAGGTTTGATGTTTTGACAATAAGCAGATCTAACATCCTTTATCTGTATCTTGTTGTTGTCCCCTCCTGATGTGTCTGCTACTTATAGTCAGCAGCATTTGGCTTCTCTTCAGGGAGGCTGTGGGTTTGTGGGTTTGTGGGTATGCTTGTGTGCTCTGCTGATGAAAGTATGTGTCAGTGTTTAGACAGTGGACTGGCTGACAGCAGTTGCCACCTCCCCCTGGTTTGAATCGTGCTTCTTCTTTTGCCCTGAGCTTTGGTTTCAAGTCTAGAAATAGTCACTGGTTTCCCTCTGTTAGCTATTTAGAGTTCAAGTTGAAGTTCAAAGTGTTTATTTGTCATATGCACAGTTAGGAAACGTGTTTCCCTGTACAATGAAATTCTTACTGTGCCGTCCACATGAATGCCACAAAATACAAATGAAATATAAAGTAGATAAATAAATAACACAAAATCTAAGGCACTTTAAGCAGTGCAAATGCAGAAATATAGTACAAAAAAAAATATATACAAGAATATAACAGAATGTATGCTGCATTTGAGCAGCATGTGCAGCAGTCAACAGTCATTGTGCAATTATGCATGTGCAAACAGAATGTAAACAGTACATCACATATTTCCTGGTAATAAACTCCTCAGCTGTTTAGGAGTCTGATGGCAGAGGGAAAGAAAGAGTTTTTCAGTCTAGTGGTCCTGCATTTCACACTTCTGAACCTCCAGCCAGAGGG